CCAGCTCTAAAGATAGGAAGTTGATCAGATAACACACGAGTTCTTGATGAAACCAGTTAGGGTACATTTAGCGGCTATATGGCGTGCAATAATGAAGTTTTACGCCATATCAATTAGTATAATGTGACATGGACAAAAACTCGCAACGTCCGGATATGATAGACGTCCGGCTATTGTTACACATATCTTACGACAGTGATGAAATATTCTCCTACGTATTAACCGCCAGCAAAACATCTCAGTATCATTATCACAGATCTTGCACCGTAATTAGAGTGATCTTTCAGCTCTCGTCAATGACATATGGGACAATCACGACCAGACAGAAGAGATTGGAAAGCTCCGCAGAAACAGAAAAAATTGAAGATCTATTAGTGAAAAATGACATTATGTGACTTGTTGGAAATTTTTTGGTAGAATTGCAAAAGGGCAAAATGACGGCAGAAGTGAGGTTGAGATAGGTGAAGACACAATGGCCTTTATGTTCACACGGCCAATATTTACTCTGTTAACTTGGCTCTATCTTACTCTTCTGGAACACCTGGTCTTATTCTCCTTATACTTTTTCAGGAGACTATGCGTAAATATTTCTTTTGCTAATGTCCTAGTTTCATTACAGTTGAGTTTGGGTTACAGTTTTGTTTAACATGTTGGTATTTTCTTGTTGCTTTCTTGACGGAAAATATTTTTCCTTTTTTTTCTAGTTACAAATTCATCCGTAAAAATATAGTTCTATAATCCTTATGAACTATCCACGCTGACATATTGATACAAGCACGTGTTTTCCATCGGTTTTTTAATTAATATATGGAAAAACCTAATCGTCTGTGAAGCACGATAAAATGCAAATGAGCAAGCCGCCTATGCACACTTTGACTTGTGATCATGCGCAAACGCGTCTGAAAAAAACTAAACAAAAATTGGCTTCCCAGCCGAAGCGTGTCCGTGGCAAACGGGTCACACCATTGCACACAAAACGTAGAAAAGGCCAGTGGCAGAAAGCTCACCCTCGAATAACAATAGGAGAGCAGTACGAAAGGTGGCACAAGTTCAAGAAAGAAAACTTTTCCCAAAGTAATGAAGAAGTTGTGAAGACTCTCCTAGACTGTTGGTAAGCGATAGGTCATCATCGCTGGTGATATTTTTTGTATGTCAGACCGTGTTTGGCAGATTTAAACCATCAAATAACAATTCACCGTGGACTTTCGTAACTTTTATATGTTTCACAAAGGTTTACCACGCAATTTCTTACATGATTTCCTTATGAAAGGAGTTAACGTGAAATCAGACTCACCGTTTCATCATTCGATGCCTCCATATCGCGTGCATTTGTTCACAAACAGTCTTCTTCCTGCCAGAGGGCGCAGCGTTTCGCGCTATATTTGGATTTATTTGTCGGGGGCTTCCCCAGATTTTAAACTGACAACACTGGATATTGGCTACATAGGAGAAAACTATTATGTACAGATTTGTTAGTCTTGACATATATATTTTCATTTCCAGCTGAATAGAAAAAACGTTGCTTGACTGAATAGTCCCTTTAACTTATCGGCACTATTTTAGTACATTTTGTAACGTTCTGTTGAAAAGGTAACATACCTTAAAATCAGCATCTGCATATGTCATATAACACAGAATGTCATATAACACAGAATGTCAAAGTAATGGAGAAATTCTACTTTATACAGTGTTAGAGTTAACATTTACAAAATAAAAACATTATAAATGGAAAACGAAAGTAGACATAAAGGAAAGGAAGTATAAAGATGTTATTAAAGAACATTTGGAATTAGATAGACTTGTTCAAATCGATTAATAGAACATCTATTGATCCTGAAGGACGAACAGCTGGTCATGTCGGGTCGGTGTGACTGACAATCTATACATATTTCATGAAAGCTACTGGAGCTCAATCCCCCAATAAATATATTAGCATTCTTAAACAAATCGGTCGATTATGTTATAGGTGAACTTTTCTCACTATAACTGTATTCTGTAAGTAAAGTCGACCTGGTAACTGATGTTTGTTTGTCGAATTGAGTTGTAGTTTGTAACTTATTTTCAATTAAACTGTGATAACCACATGATACGTTCATCCATCTGTAGTTTAGAAAAATCTGTTGTTCACTATATCAAACAGGTTCGATCATCGCCAAAGGTATGTTTCGATTACTTTGAATATTCCTTAGACGCCTCCTAGGTTTAACATTTAGGCCCTTAGCATCACTGTCGATCCCTCAAAGGACAAGCCAACTGTATGATACAGTTTAAATCTGTACTTTTCTCTGCTGTGTCTAAACTTAAATTTGTACTAAATGGTGCTATTCACTTGTGTGTCTTTTGTATAATTTCTGCAATAATTCCTGTCATTTGATCTTGATTTAATATGGACAGTTAAGTGTGAAATAAAAATCCTAGAAATAATCCTTGTAAAAACAAATGTAAAATCGTATAAATTTATGGCTGATGCTCTAAGTTGATTTTAGTCCTTATAGCACATTGCAAATTGGTTTCTGTCTTATATTTCAACATCAAATTAGCTTTTGTTGCACGTAGGGGCATCACAAGCGGCATTTCCTGGTTGTGTTGACTTCCCAAATCAGCAAACGAAAACTTTGAAATATCTTCACAGAACAAACCATTAAGGAGCCTGCATCCCTGACTAATGCTATTTACATGTCGCACTCACAAACTCATACGACAGGCTTTCAAAAGATGCAAATTGACAAAAAGCAACAACAAAACAAAAACAAAAAAAAAAAACAAAAATAAAAAAAAAATAAAAAAAACAAAATGGGGAAGTTTTTAAGGTCGTAAAAGTGATCCCATCAAGAAATATTCTGTTTATTTGTGCGATATGAAGCTGGACATGATTGATGCCCGTTAGTTTGCCTGTTGGATCTGTTGTTATAAACCTTGTTCTCATTTGATAACGTAACATTTCTTATTCGGATTGATCAAACTTTTACATGGCGGATGTTGTCGATGAAGCAGAAGACGCTTACTCATCTGGAACACCTTGTCTGTTTCTTTTCTTGTACTTTTCATGGGTCTCCATGTAAATCTTTCTTTTGTTTATAATTGCCCTAGTTGTATTGAATGTAAGTTTTGCATTATACATTTATACATGTTAGTATTTTATAGTTGTGTCATGTAGTTTTATGATCATTTACACATCTATCGTTTACCTGCGTTGATCTACACGTTTTACTGTGTTAAGAATATAATCGAAATTATATCCTTAATTACGCTCAGGTACTGTCCTTACACATCAGAATGTTTTTCTCTGATACGTGAACTTTATTTAAAAGTACAATGGCGAAGTAAACATAAGACCTTGAGATATGAAAAGCTCATGATATTTTGATTCTCGAAGCAGATAGAGGCAGATATATAAATATTGTAAGTCAATCAGACTATTACTGTGTAGAACAGAATACTACATTTGGTATAGCACAAGGTAATACTTCCGGGTCAATAATTATACCTTTAGTCAATAAATGATATCAGCATTAGCATCTAAAAACAACAAGTCCGCTATGTGAATATAATCATAAGTCAAACTCAAAATCAATCAAACTACAGCAAAAGGTAAACACGGAGAATCCTGAAAGATTGCAAGAAGAAAATAAAACCAGCTGTTCCGGAAGAGTAAGCGTATTTTGCTTCATCGACGACTCCGCCATGTATGCGATGCTACGTTCGTAAAAGATCACAAGTATACAACACTGACACAAAAGACAAACATAGGCACGTCAACTTCGACCAATCAAAGTGCTCGAAACGGCTGGTTGATAACGTATTAGAAATTCTCGGTAAAACGGAATGAATCTTCTTCACAGTCGCCCAACGCTTATCAGAATGAAACAAAGTTGATGTTTACGGAAAGAAGGTTTTGGTACCTAGATGTACTGTTCGACCTATTTTTACAAGGTGATTGTACACTATGAAACTTTATTAAACAGTTGATATTGAACAGTAACCTTTGTGTCTCGTTAGTGTTCTAAAATACAATCAGTAATGATTCTATATATCTTCGTTCCTTGGTGTTAAACATGGTAACACTTAGTGAATAAAATCGAAGAGTGAAATCTATGTAGCTCAAAATCGATGTATAAGTTTATATAGAACCAAGAACAATAGTTAGCAAAGAAATGATTAAGGATGTCACTTTAATGTAGAAATTAAAAACGTGAGCCTGTCTCGTAAAGCTGCATTCCCATGAAATCGTAGTTTGTTACTAAATGTCCGACGATTTGAACAAACTTTTATAAAAAAAAATATTTTTTCAGGCCAAGTTAAAACGGTATTTGAATAAGCTATGGATTTTATATTTATACTTTTACAACCCTAATGATATAAACCCTATTTATCTGTTATAACAAATTATAACGTAGATTTTATCTAAATCATTAAGGACCTGTTTGGTAATAGATCTGTGTACTTACAGGAGCTACCAATGGTGTCATAAAACCTAATGACTTACCAAAGTACATTAATTAAATCATATCATTATTACAACTTAATGTTAGATGTTTAATCAGGTAGATTTATGTGCTTTGTGTGACGTATATTGTTTGATTATACGCCTTAATAACCAAATCTAAGACAGGAAATATGTGCGTATATATTAACCAGTCTACACAATAAAGAGTGAACAGGTGTTTACAACTATAACTGGACACAGCCGATTATTCCACGTAAAGTTCAGCGGGACTGGTCATTGAGGTGGGACTATATTGTGGAACTCTTATATCATGCTCCGGTTACACTTGTGTTAGTATGGAACACAAACAACCACTTCACTACTGTTTAGTTACGTCATGGTTGATAGATGTAACCGCTGCTGATATCTTGATCAATGATAATGACAAACACCAGATTTGTAGGACAGCGAATTTCTTTTATTCCTGTCCATTTTATCATGCAAAGTATTATTTAAATAAGTGGGCGGGAGATCACTTGGAAACGTTTTGGAAAGAGGGAGGGAACATTTTCTATCAAGGCGTAGTGGCGGGGAGCGGTGCAGCGAACGAAGACTGTTCCTCTAGTTCATCTACAACCGGAAGTTTACCGTCCCGTGAGTCGTATGTTCCGGTTGTAGTTCCGTACATTGGTGCTTCGGAAAAGGCTTGCAGTAAGTTAACCGTTCCTGTTGACCGAATGTCTTTGTACATATAGCACACCATTACAAACATACACAAGTATATAAACGCCTCTAACGCGTAAGCAAATCCAGGGAACATAGAGGCTGTTGCAATGTATATATTTACAAACACGACGACACCAAATAGCTTTGACGCCGTCTCGCCACACGCGAGAAGCGAGAATATCTTTCCCGCCTCGTCCTCGTCAACCGACTTGCTCAGAAGTGACCTCATAGATGACGTAATCATTCCTGCAAAGGCACCAATCACAACCGACACATATACCATCCACGTTTCGCGACAAAATCCAGCCCAGGTGAGACGAATGATCTTGCACGTGATCCCAATGAGAAGTAGAGCAGCATCAGGAACCTTCATGTACGCCGTCAATACAGGAAGTATTAGAAACAGACTCGAACCCATCACCGCGTAGTCCACAGACAGTAAATAGCCGTACCAGGATTTCGGCCAGTTAAGTGGACTTCTGGTTACAAATAACACTGTGATGTCCATTTCGCCAACCTTACAAGTCTGATTCAAGACTGATGTAAAGAAAAGTATCAAAATGATATTTCTGGTATTTCTTGGTCTTTGTTTAAAAATGACCATGACACTATCCTTGATGTTCGACGGTTTAAACACATCACAACATTCTCCCTTTAAACCTTTGTTTTCAACCTTTTTGGATGGAAAGGTTATAGAATCGTTCATTGCAAATACTGTGATTAATACCACTGCAGCGTGGATAATTACAATACAACAGAATGTTGTAAGCATATCTGTCGTATCCTGGAAAAGTCCCGACAGAAGAGACCCAGCAAACAGACCGAAGAAATTCATGCCGAGAAGTTTTCCTAATTTTTTCGTCCTTTCATCCATCTCTGATATATCAGATACATAACTATTCACTGCCATGGTGATGACAGAACTCTTGCCAAATATTCCTTGTAAGCTTGCGCCCATTAAAATCAGAGGGATTCGAATTTCCTCCAACATTAAGCTTGGAATGTACAACAGAACACCCAGTACACTACCTATACTCGGAAGAAGCATTGGTAACTTCCGTCCATACCGGTCACTGTACGCACCACAAAACAACCCCAAAAAGACGGCGGGAAGATTAACGAGCAGACGATAGTACATCAGGTAGTTCCCGGCTATACTCTGCACGCGATCCTCGTGCTCTGGGTATCGGTCAAGGTCAAAGCAAATGGAAGCGTTGTATGGAAAAGTTTCCTGACAAACTGCCTTTACGATATAAGGTCGTGTTGTGGCGTCCAACATCGACTCTCCGGTCTTGTAAAGGAAGAAGATAAGTTCGACTACCACCATATCGTAAGAACAACAGTTTTCCTCCATTTTTATTTCGACGCTTTTCAGTTCCGGTCCCGTTTATTTAGCCACTCCTGTAAAGACATTTAAAACAGATTTGAATTATGTATGTGACGAAGAAAACAGTAAAGAAAACGTTCAAGTAATTTTGTTAAATGTCACAGAAAAAAACTTGTCAACTATTTTTTGCTAATTCATTATCGTCAGATCAATCCGGTATCAGAGCCTGATGTCTGCTCTAATTGATTGAAATACACGGGGTATTTCAGGAAGAGTGTTTCTACAGTATAACCATAATACTAATTAACGAATTCATTTTAACCACTATCTACGATCACAAGAGAGATTTAAAAATCTCTTGTTTGTAGAACCGAGATGGCACTTCTTCCCATACCTTAAAAAATCAAATTTCATCTAGATCTACATGAGGCCTACCTCTATGATCTATACAACGGAGAGTTCGGAAGTCAATTTAATTAAGTGACGTCGACATAAGCAAGTGGGTTATCAGCACATATTGCTTAGCTATAAATTCAAAAGCGAAACCACTGATTCTCGAAAATCAACCACACCACACGAATCAAACACAAAATCCAGTGAAAGCCTTTGGAGTATTCAAACCCATAATTACAGTTTTGTACCTCGATTCGTCGGATGGGCGCAGTGTATTGACTATTTTGTTTAGGAATGTACAAGCTTTCCTTTTTGTCAAATAAAGAAAGTTATTTAACGTCAGTTTTTACACTACTCCTCCGCCTTTTCTCAAATTATTGTCTTCTGAAGTTTTCGAACTTTTCCAAGTGACATTGGAATTTAAGGAATCGCCAAACAGTGGAATGTACAGAGCAATAAAAAATAACCTTGGCCAGCAGTTCTTATTCTGTTGCTAAATTTTAAAGAAGATTCAGAATCAACAGTTACAATTCTTGTTTTAAAAATCAAAATAAAACAGAAAAAAGTATATGAATAGTTACCCTGACGGACGTTTCATACACTAATTCCTGTACGTTTACTTATCCCTGGTCGATAGAAGTCCGTGAAAGTTATGACGAGAGAAAAAACAGCATTACACAAACAGGTCCCACATCCCGCAAAAGTTTTCAAAAACTCCTATCAGAATTACTTTAGGTATGCCTTACCGACTTCAATAAGAAAATATTCCGCGAGTCTTATGCCACGAGTCGAGTCAAAAGTCATCATATTCCAACGAGAAATTCTAATAACCTCTCACGATGTCCCATTTAGAAGGAAATGTCCATTTCCGTGTCGTCTATCAGCAACCGATTGTTCAAATTAAGTTCGCATATGGTCATGAAGGAATGTTGTCAGTTTTCACCGATTTCTGAAAGCACCAGTTCGACTGTTTTATAGAGGTTTACCCACTCAATCAAGTTCCTCTACTCAGCCGTAAAAATCACGTTATGATGAATAACGCTCCGTACATTGTTTGGACCGAAAGTCCAACTTGCCGGAATAATCGATGAATTGTTTTCGAGCTTGGAGTCCCCTCCTTTCGCATCACTATGTAAATGAATTTGTGTTGGCGTTCTAACTTAGAATCAACACACACCCTTTTAGCATTATGGCGAACAATAAGAGCAGACTGGTTTTTAAAACCGTTCCGAGAAATATTCGTTCCTCGTTTGTTAATGAATGCATTGTTTCAGGATTCCATGAGAACACAAATTTTAAAAAAATCTTAATTTCCTGATATTTCGAGGAACATAAATGGGTATTTTTACAATGTATGACCTTGTAAGGAATATCCTTCATCCAGATAGTCTGCGAGTGTAATTATCTAACAATAAGCATCATTTCCTTCACGTCAATTATCGTGTAACGCGAGAGTTAGAACGGCTTCTGTATTGTCCTGAAGAATAACCCTTCTCTGACGCTGTAGTAGACGGTTTTGTGTTAACTACCATTTGATGAATAGAACAATTATTGACGATAGGGACAGGAATGCTTTCTGCAGTAGGTGAGGGAGCACTATTACAGAGCTAAAACAGCTTTTATCGTCAGCTTTTGTCAATGTGTAGATCGATTAGCAGGCATTCGAATCCCTGCTAATCTATCGCCTCTTGTTAATTACAAAACCAGCAGACAGAAGAAACACGATTTTGTCAGTGGAAGAAGAATGTATTCAAATCTGGTTTTATCTTTTAATCAGTTTGCAAATAAGAGCAATATTTTTCACATCACAGAAACTATTGCTAAAGCAATGCATTACTGGGGAGGAGCGACTTTTGGTAAAAAATAATCCGCTGATACTTCGTCCTGTACTACATAACCAAACATTGATGTATACCGTCCGGACGTACCACATAAACAAACAATGATGTATATCGTCCGGACGTACCACATAGCCAAACAATGATGTATACCGTCCGGACGTACCACATAGCCAAACAATGATGTATACCGTCCGGACGTACCACATAGCCAAACAATGATGTATACCGTCCGGACGTACCACATAGCCAAACAATGATGTATACCGTCCGGACGTACCACATAGCCAAACAATGATGTTATACCGTCCGTCGTACCACATAGCCAAACAATGATGTATACCGTCCGGACGTACCACATAGCCAAACAATGATGTATACCGTCCGGACGTACCACATAGCCAAACAATGATGTATACCGTCCGGACGTACCACATAGCCAAACAATGATGTATACCGTCCGGACGTACCACATAGCCAAACAATGATGTATACCGTCCGGACGTACCACATAGCCAAACAATGATGTATACCGTCAGGACGTACCACATAACCAAACAATGATGTATACCGTCCGGACGTACCACATAGCCAAACAATGATTGATACCAGTCACATAGCCAAACAATGATTGATACCGTCAGGACGTACCACATAGCCAAACAATGATGTATACCGTCCGGACGTACCACATAGCCAAACAATGATTGATACCGTCAGGACGTACCACATAGCCAAACAATGATGTATACCGTCAGGACGTACCACATAGCCAAACAATGATGTATACCGTCCGGACGTACCACATAGCCAAACAATGATGTATACCGTCCGGACGTACCACATAACCAAACAATGATTTATACCGTCCGGACGTACCACATAGCCAAACAATGATTTATACCGTCAGGACGTACCACATAGCCAAACAATGAGTTATACCGTCCGGACGTACCACATAGCCAAACAATGATGTATACCGTCCGGACGTACCACATAGCCAAACAATGAGTTATACCGTCCGGACGTACCACATAACCAAACAATGATTTATACCGTCCGGACGTACCACATAGCCAAACAATGATTTATACCGTCAGGACGTACCACATAGCCAAACAATGATTTATACCGTCCGGACGTACCACATAACCAAACAATGATGTATACCGTCAGGACGTACCACATAACCAAACAATGATGTATACCGTCCGGACGTACCACATAGCCAAACAATGATGTATACTGTCAGGACGTACCACATAACCAAACAATGATTGATACCGTCCGGACGTACCACATAGCCAAACAATGATGTATACCGTCCGGACGTACCACATAGCCAAACAATGATGTATACCGTCCGGACGTACCACATAGCCAAACAATGATGTATACCGTCAGGACGTACCACATAACCAAACAATGATTTATACCGTCCGGACGTACCACATAGCCAAACAATGATGTATACCGTCAGGACGTACCACATAACCAAACAATGATGTATACCGTCAGGACGTACCACATAACCAAACAATGAGTTATACCGTCCGGACGAACCACATAGCCAAACAATGATTTATACCGTCCGGACGTACCACATAACCAAACAATGATGTATACCGTCCGGACGTACCACATAGCCAAACAATGATGTATACCGTCCGGACGTACCACATAGCCAAACAATGATGTATACCGTCCGGACGTACCACATAGCCAAACAATGATGTATACCGTCCGGACGTACCACATAGCCACCACGTACCACATAGCCAAACAATGATTTATACCGTCCGGACGTACCACATAGCCAAACAATGATGTATACCGTCCGGACGTACCACATAGCCAAACAATGATGTATACCGTCCGGACGTACCACATAGCCAAACAATGATGTATACCGTCCGGACGTACCACATAGCCAAACAATGATGTATACCGTCCGGACGTACCACATAGCCAAACAATGATGTATACCGTCCGGACGTACCACATAGCCAAACAATGATGTATACCGTCCGGACGTACCACATAGCCAAACAATGATTTATACCGTCCGGACGTACCACATAGCCAAACAATGATTTATACCGTCCGGACGTACCACATAGCCAAACAATGATTTATACCGTCCGGACGTACCACATAGCCAAACAATGATGTATACCGTCCGGACGTACCACATAACCAAACAATGATGTATACCGTCCGGACGTACCACATAGCCAAACAATGATGTATACCGTCCGGACGTACCACATAGCCAAACAATGATGTATACCGTCCGGACGTACCACATAGTATTACAGTGTTAAGATTTCTAAACAAAAGAAACACATTACTGACAACCAGCAGTGAAAAAGATATATGCTCGCATTCGTAATGACTACACGTACTTAACCGTGATTTTTTTCGACGTCATTAATGTCCCCCAATATGTCACGGATGTTTCAAACAATACTTATCCATGTTCACTCGGATGACCGTCTATATCACCTTAACATTCCGTGTACATACTCAGACATATACAGTAGACATGTACATACTTACCTTCGTCTACGAAATTAAACAAATAATAATGAATATTCAGTCCCAGGTGTTCGAACCGTTATTTTCCCATAATCAATGTTACTTTGTGAAGTTATCATAAAAGGATCAGACAACAAGGATGTTGATTTCATCCCTTCGTTAACAAATCAAATTTCCTGTACATCAATATTTTATGTAAATGGTAAGTCATGACAACATCATCAAACAGGATGGTCATAGGGCTGAGATGATAGGTAA